ATTTTTAAACTTTAAGAAAACAAGGTTGCATAAAACTTCTTTATCATAATTGCACTTTGGTTGAGACCTAATGTCAAATAAGTTGTTTGCTTGCTACTTGATTTGGAATAGTGTGGTTTTAGTTTTCATTCTCAAGATGTGTCTAGTTTCATTAATGGCTAAATGTTGAAAAGCTTTATGATTCACATTATGTCTAAACTTTTATGAGTTGTATTTATTGGAAAAGTTTTGTGAATCGTTTTGCTCTGAAAATTCTACTATATGCTTTGTGAGTGTTTTATAATAGAAAGCCTCATGAAATCTTCTTGTTAAAAGATTTTCATGGATAAATCCCACGTTGACAAGGTTTATAATTCATTTTGTGCCGGGAAGAGTTATGGTGGATTTCATATGAGAAAGGTTTTATGTGTTACTTTGTTTGAAAGGCTCTATGAGTTGTCTTTGGGATTTGTGGATTTTATGAATGGTTTTGCACTTTAAAAGCTTAATGTTGGAAGGTTCTTTCAGTTCTCTTTTCACGAATGATTTTCTTTCTCTTATTCGCACTTGACTCTAGAGATGAGTTTAAAAAAATGGAGACTAGAGGTGTGTTTGGATTGAGAGTGGAAGAACTTGTTTAGGTTTTAGGTTTTCGAATTTGATCCTTCTTCTCTATTTTAAGTTTTATATTGAGATTGATATGAGTAGTTGTGTCAAATATTTCAAATGCTTTCTCGAAACGTGGGAACAATAAATAGCATCAAAGCTTCCTTCCTTTCATCTACATTTGGCTTAAACGTCAAATGGGAGCAAAGCATGTGTAGAAGGCATGTCTAGCAGTCTAGCTTTGAAAAGGCATGCCTAACAACGAGATGCTTACATACTTTTGCACTAAATTTGTTTCTTTCTTTTTATATTTGTTTGAGCTTTATGTGAAGGTTATGTTTATAATCGCTCTATATTTAATCAAATCATGTGGTTATTGATTATTGATTGTGCTAATGCTGAACTTCATTGAGCATATTATATTAATTTTCATGTACATGATCGAGCTTTAAGGTTATGTGAATATTTCACATAAAAAAAAACTTATAAGTAAATCAAAAAAGTTTTGGAGAAGCTTTCTTTATGTATGCTAGAAATTACATTGTATGGAGATTGATATATATATTAACAAGTCCTTAAGTGTTTCATGTATGGGTGTATGTTCTATGTTTAGGAATTGTCACATGTTTCAGATATGATTTTTCTTACTCATGTTAGCAAATCTTTCATACTCACTAATTTAAACATGTGGAATTTTATGTGTTATTATTATTACTTGTTTGCTCCATTCACTTGTACATACTCTCTTTCCATATGCTTTAGATAACTTTCCTAGTTGTTTTAAATTAATCCATGCTTAACTATATTTATTTTTGAATGACATCTACGCTCACCCCTATATTTCTCCTTCTGCTTTTTGTCTTGCGAGGTACCCGTATCCTGTATGGGTGAGTTAGTTGAGTTGCTTGCTTGGGAGCTTTTGAGTGGGCACGTCATGATCGGGTATAATCTCTGCTGCTTATAAAACCTCTAATTATATATCAAAATTATTACACATCACACACATTTTGTTAACAGCTTTAGTTTAATATGTATTCTAGAATGTTTTGTTAGCAAGTCATAGGTTAGTGCACTGACGAAGCTTTGGCCTGCGCCCCCTTCTACGATTCCTAGAGACCCTTATGGTCACCTTAGGCTTGTAGTGTCGGCCCACCAATTTGCACTATGTGCATCGCAGTTTTCCCACACAAAGTGGGCATCGTTAGGATGTTACCTTTTTTCTATTTTGGGTGTGATACACCCCACCTTATGTGAGCCCTAGAGACCATTAGGGTCATTTTAGGCCTGTAGTGTAGGTCACTTATCTGTGCCATGTGTATCGTTGTTTTCCCACACGAAGTGGGCACTATTATGATGATTTTTTTGTGCGCCCCCCATCCTTTAGGATCTTATGGAAACTCCATTTATAACTATGATTGCTTTCTTTTATTTTAGATTCCTAAATCTGTTGACACATGTGCGTATGTCAAAAGGGTTAGAAACGAACTTTCTTTTATCCCCTATAACTTTAGTGACACCTAATGATAAAAATTAAGAAACTGAGTCTTAGATAATATAAACTTAGGATGCATGCTCCCTATAGGATAGAGATATTAAACATATAAAATTTAGTGACACGTTACCCTAGGTTTAGTGTGTCATAACTTACTAATAATCAACCAACAAAATCATTCATAATCCAAGCCCAAACGCACTAAAACACTTAACTTTTAATCAAACCACAATTAATGTGTAATTATTAAAATTCAGATTTGAACATAAACTTGAACTAAGCCTAATCAACCCATTAATCATCCTCTAACAAACCTAAAACTTAAAAGATATGGACTAAATTAGGAGAGCAAACCTAAACTAAAAGCTTGGTAAAATTTAAAAAAAAAAAACTAATCTCAAACCCAAACCTTAATTTATTAAACTCTCTCATAACAGTGAATTAAAATCTAACTAAATGAATAACATAAAAGAACTTATTAAGAGATTTAATTATAACCCAAAACTTAATAACTCACTTAAAATTTAATCAAGCCTTAAGCTAGCCTTTTAAAATCAATCAACGAACCCCTTAATACATAACAACCACTCCAAAGATGAAGCTTATTGGATGAACTACTCCGAGCTGCAAGGCTAAGTGTCCTAAGGAGGCTTGGTTCCTCGAGCCTGGTGGCACCACGAATATATTTAATAGTGTTAAAACTTTAAAATTAATTATATATTAATGATTTAAAAGAAATAAAACTTTTAATATAACTATATCAACTAGGTTTTTAGGATGGACTACTCCGGGCTGCGAGCTACGTGTCCTAAGAAGACCTGGTTCCTCGAGCCTGGTAGCACAATGCCACGAACTAATTGATAGCAAACTTAACTAATTTAACCCCTTAATTGATAATAAATCACTTAATTTATCTTTCTTTTTTTAATTTACAAACAACTAAATTAACTCAACAAAATTGATTACTACTAGGTAACTCCGACCTACGGGGTTATTAAAATAGCCCCAATGAGGTTGAAATAAATCTCACGATCTCGATGAGCAACAACGGTAGTAATCATCAAACATCTAAAATATACTCTAAAATTCACATTAAAATATTAATATTTAAACTTTAATTAAAATTTCCCTTTTGACCTTTAACAAATTAGAACATAAAGCAACTTTAATTAAATCATCATATATATGACATATCAAAACTACACAACCTGCTACACACACTAGAACTTATTTGCTAAGATCACCGACTCTAGTCTTAGGCTAGTATGTTTTGTTGTGATGCGGGTACCTTACCTGGAGGATATCCTTGGTGTGTTTATTTACTTTATGTACTCTGGATGTCATGGCATGCATAATTATTTTTTTGGCGCACTTTAGTTTATTAATTAATATGCACATATATTATATTCATGCATGCATATTCATTTGTTATACTTTTCATTGCAAAAAAAAATCAAAGTAAAATGTATCAAGGATGCTTGTAAAAGAAGACTTCAAATAAAATGTACCTAGGTGTGAATGTATGTACAAAGAGTCAAAAGTAAATGTAAGGCATCAAGAGTTTTATTGATTCAAAGGTATTTGCTAATGTACATATATAGGATTCCAAAAGATAATGCCTTTTTTTTTTTTTTTTTGCATTCTCTTTTGGAATTCTATAAGTAAATCCATAGTCAGAAGATGATAAGCAAATACATTTCAATCTGCATATTTCATAGGTGTAGAAACTAGGTTTGTTTTGGTGGAGACTGACCACCTTATTTTATTGCAGACCCTGTGTAATATGTATGTTCTAAAGAAATAAATAAAAGATTTTATTTATGCATTTGCTTCAAGCATCATTATACATGGCTTTAGATAATTTTATTTTTATATTTTATGTATCCCTGATTTAAACCTCTAAACTATAAATCATTGATTCCTTAGGATAGAGCATTCTTATCTTACATACATATAGGGCGATTGACTGTGTTTAGAATGTTAGCTGGCAACTCACTCCAGGTAAGCATATGCCCAGATTGTACACCCCTCAGAGTGTCTCTTCGAACTTATAATGAATCTTGAATCTGTCATTTCTCCTAGGATAGTAAATTCAATCTTTGATGTTTTAAACTCAAAATTTTAATCTCACATTTATTCATTTTAAAAGGTCTAATCATCACTAAGGATAAAGATAAGGGTTTATCATCTTTGGAATATAAATTAAGAATTTTCTCTGTGCATCAAATTAAGAAGAGAATAATACAATATCCTTAATTGAGAGCTTTCCTAAATCAAGGCCTAGGATGTAATTAACCATGAGGGTTTGCGCCCGTGAGAAACCGATCTTCACATCAAATAAACCTCATTCGAGCTGATGTATCGAATGGAAGAAATCTCGTTATATTTTGGGTTATATATATATTATCCATCGAGGTGTGTAGGTGAAAGCCACTATCTTCCATGGCTAATCATATGTATGACTTCATATACTCTTTCATTAGCATGCTTGCATAGAGTGTAAAAGTCTAAGACCATTTTGTCCTACAGGATAGTGCGATTGTACCCCTTTACATTATATTCCCCGCGAGCAGAATACTTTCGCAGACCCATAATATACTAAAACAAGTAGGCAATATAGCGTGATTTAGCCTCCACGGCCAGTTTTGTAACTGGCAAGTAAAAGCAGCAAAAGCCGAGAGGCAAGAACAAAACTTAAGCATTAGAATTTTACTATATAGAGTACTAGACCGGTTCAAAGAAAAATATGGTTCATGACTTATATGGCGATGCTCCTGACCACACATTTGCTATGGATATTGATTTCTGTGCAAGAAATGAAAAACAAGTCATAAAGAACTCTAATTGTAAATTAATGACCAGACTTACTAGTCTTATGGAATAATCTGGTAAGAAAAAGAATGAACAAAAATATTTCTCTGACCGGTCTCTAATTATATTTATGCTGCTGACACCCTTAATTTTTGCAAGCTGAATAATGCACTGTCCCACAATGCTAGTTGCACCATTTTGCACAATAGCATCACCTAAGTAGAATTCAAATGAAGTATGAAGCATTAAGCAATAGCAGACAACAATTATGAGTAGGATTAAAGGGATTGATGATAATTCATCATTGCAACCAAATACCAGAAGTTAGCTCAACAAAGTTCTCCAGCATACACAAGGCAGTCAGTGGATTTACAGTAATTGTAGCAGCATACTCCATAGGGATGCCCTTGCTAATTTTGTGCCATGCATTCTCCTCTTTAACAATGTATGTCTGCCAAGTCCCTAGGAAGCTTAAAATTTGTTACAATCAAGAAATACAAGAAAAGATCGATATGTTGAGAGCATCAAAGCTTCAAGAAGACTCAACAATTTAAAAATCTAAGCATACATTTAATTTAAATAAACATATAAATGAAAAAAATGAAGAATGAAACAAAAAAATAACAATCTAAACACAGAGAATATAAGAGAAATAGCCTTCTTTTATTTCCTTCAGAACAAACATGAGTACAGAAGGTACCGAATGATGGAGGTGATGGTATCACCCAGTCGCCAACTTCAAGGTTACTCACTGCAGAACCCAGTGAATGCACTTCCCCAACTCCCTCATATCCTGCAACTGCAGGTACCTGAGGACGTACAGGATAAACTCCTGTAACAGGAAAACATGTACATAACTGAAAATTAGAAAGCAGATAATATTATAGAGAAGAGATGCCCCGATGATTATTCAAATAGATCTGCGAGAGAAAAGATTCATAGAAAATGCAGCTTTATACAGATTTTTTTTTTTTAACAGATGTTTACTTTCATAGTGCTTGAAATCAGTATCCATAAGACTTGACCAAAGGTCAAGTAAAATCACTTCATTCTTATCACCCTCATCAAATATACAGATGTTTACTTTCATAATGCTTGAAATCAGTATCCATAAGACTTGACCGGTCTCTAATTATACAGATGTTTACTTTCATAATGCTTGAAATAACCAATTTCTATATATTTGTTTGACCAAAGGTCAAGTAAAATCACTTCATTCTTATCACCCTCATCATCATTATTAGCCTTACCCAATTATTCTATGTTGGCTGACGAAATCCTACTTCAATTCATTCTTGTTAAGTGATGCATGGCTTGTTAACGCTAGTCCATACAAGCATCTTTATAATACTCTTAAGCAAGATAACCATTAGTCCCATTTCCTTCCTAATCCATCCACCAACAGCAGAACTCAGTGAATACACTTCCCCAATTCCCTCATATCTTGCAACTGTAGGTACTCGATAATGCACAGTATAAACCCTACAACAGGTAAACATATACCATAACTGAATTATAAAGCAGACAATATTAAAGAGAAGACCAGGTCCATTGATTATTGAACTAGATTATTGCAAGATATGACTCATATATGTTGACCAATGCACTAAGAAACACAAAAAAGAGGCAATCGACGGGCGTAACACGTCACTAAAGTGCTCATACGATCTCCGATCGATAAACGAGTTGCGCCATTGCGATCAAAAAGTCAAAATTACTTAAGAGGAAGCCCTTCACAGTAGAATCGGGAAAAGACGATCAAAATTGATGATCTACACCAGAAAATATTGCACGACGCTGCCCAAACGATGCCCCAATCACAAAATGCACTTCGTCGTTGCACTCGAAAAGTCTGAATTATCCAAAAATAATTGTAATATTGCCTAATGGACTACACACGAGAATAACGGCGTGAATATAATTAAAAAAATGGGAGAAAGTACGTCATTTACCTGCAGTTACATGCCGACGCCGCTCTTCCCACAATCTCTGCTCAAATCCTGCTCCTGCTCCTGCTCAAGGAGACGACGTTTTGCTCTTGTCTATAAAAGGAGGGCGAGATGGAGCGATCTATTTTTTTCTTCCACACACGAACGATCCTTATTAGAAAATGGATATAGTACAACCTAGATTGACTATTTTCTTATTAGAAAATTAAATCGTTTAGATTGCAAAGATTGTAAAATTATTCTGAGAGAAAATTTATGTACCCAACATCGATTATTAGTTTTGGACTTTAAGATAAATGGGCATAAAATAAAAAATAAAGTAAAACGATTTTCTAGGATTAAATAGGGGCATTTAAAGAATATTAACAAAAATATTTTTGGGAATAAGATTTTAGATCTTAAGATTTTGTCTCTGCATGAGGATGTTAATGTTATGTGGGAAAAAGTGGCTAGTGATATTAAGAATATTGCAAAAGATGTCCTTGGAGTATTCAAAGGGAAAAGCTCCTAATAGTAAAAATAATTGGTGGTGGAATCCAAATGTGCAAGAAAAGATTAAAAATAAGAAGCTTTGTTATAAAAATTGGTTTAATTTTAAAAATTCTGATAATTGGGAAATATATAAAGTGGCTCGTAAGGATACTAAGAAAACAATATGCGATGCAAAGACATTAGCTTTTAGTGATTTATATAATAGATTAGATACTAAAGAGGGAGAAAGATATATGTATAAGTTAGCCAAACAAAGAGATAGAAGTAGTAAGGATTTAGTTCAAGTGAAGTGCTTAAGGATGAAGATCAAAAAATACTTTTTTTAGAAGATGATATTCAACAAAGATGGATGAGATATTTTGCTAAACTTTTTAATGAAGATTGTGAAAATAAGATTGACTATAGTGACATTAGCAACCTAAATGAAAATAAAGATTTCTGTTTTTATCGACGTATTAGTAAAACTGAAGTTACAGAGGTTTTAAAGAAAATGAAGGGTGGAAAAGCTGTTGGACCTGAGGATATTCCAATACAGGTGTGGAAATGCTTAGAAGATGGAGGAATTTCATGGCTTACTAATCTTTAGTACTATTTTGAAGACTAAAAAGATGCAATATGAGTGGAGAATGAGTGTGTTAATCCCTATTTTTAAGAATAAAGGTGATGCACACGATTGTGCAAATTATAGAGGTATTAAGTTAATGTGTCATACTTTAAAAATATGGGAGCGAGTTATGAAGCATAGGTTGCAGCGTGATACTAATGTTTCTCAAAATCAATCTGGATTCATGCCGGGTAGGTCGACTATAGAAGCCATATATTTATTAAGAGGTTTGATGGAGAAATATAGAGAAAATAAGGAGGATCTACATATGATATTATTGATTTAGAAAAAGCATATGATAAAGTTCCAAGAGAAGTGCTATGGACAGTTCTTGAAAAGAAAGGAGTCAATAATGCTTATATTCAAATCATTAAATATATGTATGCAGGAGCTATTGCTTGTGTTCAAACACAAGGTGGATTGACCAAGTATTTCCCTATTTCGGTTGGGTTACATCAAGGATCAACCTTAAGCCCATATCTTTTTGCTTTAGTCATGGATGTTCTCACTAGACATTTGCAAGAGGATGTACCTTGGTGTATGTTTTTTGCTGATGATATTCTTCTTGTTGATAAGACTAGAGAGGGAGTTGAAGGTAAACTTGAATTATGGAGGTCAACCTTAGAGTCTAAAGGTTTTCGCTTGAGTAGATCTAAAACAGAATATATGGAGTGTAATTTTAGTAGTAATAGACCTAGTGAGGGGATTGTGACTTTGGACGATCAAGTCATTAATAAGAGTACACGTTTTAGATATCTTGGATCTATTATTCAGAGTGATGGTAAAATAGATGGGGATATTATCAGCAGAATTTAAGTTGGATGGTTGAAGTGGAGGAATGCATCGGGCTTGTTATGTGATAGAAATGTACCCCTCAAACTTAAGGGAAAATTCTATAAGATGGTAGTGAGGCCTGCAATGCTTTATGGTGTCGAATGTTGGCCATTAAAAGAAAAGCATAATACTAAGTTAAGTGTGGCAGAGATGAGGATGCTCAGGTGGATGAGTGGCTTTACCCATAGAGATAAGATACGAAATGAGCATATACGTGAAAAGGTTGGAGTAGCTCCAGTAGAAGATAAGATTAGAGAGAGTCGCCTTAGATGGTTTGGTCACATAAAACGGCGGCCTTCCGATGACCCGGTTAGGAGAGTAGAGGTATTAGATTTGACTTATGTTAAGAAAGGTAGGGGTATACCTAAAAAGACTTGGTTAGAAAATATTAGGAATGACCTTTCTTTATTAGATTTAAACGAGAGTTTGACTTTTAATATGACACAATGGAGAAAAAGAATTCATGTAGCCGACCCAACGTAGTGGGATAAAGGCTTGATGTTGTTGTTGTTGTTGCACATGAACGATCCTTCTCCCTGCAATGACTCCCAACTCGTCAAATCCCACAACCTCCGACCCGCTATAGCTCTTCAAACGCGACGATCCGGCCCCTACTCAGCTATCCGATCGCATACAAGCTGCAAGTCACACCTTCCGGATCCCGCTCTAGAGCCACGAGCTTCTACTAGTTCACACTCAGCAGCCCGTCCGACCCAGCCATCAAATCCGCTTCATTTGGCTTCCAACCGAACTCCTCCACTTCAACCAGTCGACGCCTTCTCACGCCCAACCCTGCCCAAACAACCGACCGTCGATTTCACAACACATGTCTGACTCAACCTCCACTCAAACCTCCACAGCAGCCGCATCCCTTCACCTAGCCGTTCGAAGACCCCATTCACTCCCGATCTCGATTTTTCACTTCACAACCAAACCCGAGCACTCCCTCTCTTATTCGAACACCCCTAACAGAACTCCAATCTCCCTCTTGTTGTTCACTCGAAAAGCAACTACCTCACCTGAGCTTCCTTCACTGCCCCTTACTCCTCCCATTCAGCCGAACTCCAGCCCACACCCCTTTTACTAATTAGCCATTCACTCCAAACCAAATTCACAGAACTTCTAACTTTCAGCCCACCTAGTCTACTTAAACTCTCCATACAATAAAATCCTTAGTCCACTTCACGACAACATCCTCCAACAGTAACCCAAAGTCACTACCTCTTGACCACCAACCATCAGTTATCCTCCCTCTCTATTATTACCTCTATTATTACTACATATTATTATCATTAAAAAAAGAGAGAAGTACAAAAAAAAGATAAAAAAGAGGGAGAAGGAGAGAAAGAAAGCAAAGAAAAAAAAATTGCACATTTTTGACGTCGTCGCGTCCCTCGCACAAGATTTAATTCCCCTAAACTCAAAAAGCCCCCAAATTCTAATTTCGGAGCTCGTAGCGCAACAACGGGATCGTCTATGCACGCTTTCCTTAGTTTGATGAGGAGGAGTTCGGTGCAACGCTTGCAGCAAGGCAGGTGCCTAGTGCACCCTTAATGTGGTGGGGTAAAACTTAAGTACTCATACACTCTTTCAGGTCGGCAGGGAAATTTGCAAAGTTTCACGTAGGTACCCTTACAACTCATGCACACGTTTCTTGTTGTTATGGGGTAGAAGACTAATAGACCGGTCCAACCGGTCCACGCAGGACCGGCTCACGTTAAATGGGGCGGAACTCTTCCACCCCCTGGATGCGCCAAACGCAATCGCAAGCCACATGAGCCGGTTTTGGAAGAATTTTGGAAGGAATTTTGGGAGGGAAATTGAATTTAGGGATTGATTAGGGAATTACTTTTGATTTGTATGCATTAAATATTTTGTCTTCGGAGGGTTATGACATATTGAATTTGGCTGAAATTTGAGATCTCTTAGATTTAGGTTTTCTTTGGGCTCTAA